AGTTTTCCGGATATCCATTTGCTAATAAAACTGAATGTATATGTCGAAACTCATCCATCACTGTGTCACTCGTGCATATTTTTCGGGCCCTTGAGAAGAAACATTTCACTAGGGAACGTTTATAATGGATAGGAACAAAACTGGTAAAATGAAGATATTGTCCACTCCATGTCTATTTACGAAAGATAGATCTCTGAATCGTACCATCATCTCTCCTGGTCATTGTAATATCGAGGAAACCGAGTTTGTTATTCGATTCACGTTCGGAAGTCACTCGGATATTTGGATGAATATGATTGAATAGAGTGATAAAGTTTTCAATAGATTTACTATTATTACCAATAATGAGTTTATCATCTACATAACGTTGATACAGCATAAATTCTCCAAGCATACCTTGCATTTGTCTTTCCAATTTCGACATGAAAATATCTGCTAACAGGGGCCCAAGTTGTCTATACCTCTATAGCCAAGGCAGAAGTAGGGATTGTATATACTTCTTTTGTACACAAAGGTCTGGCTTAAAGTCATGAATTGACAAGGTCTCCACTGTCTTTAGAAGTCTGTAACGCAGAAAACGCGGCCAGCAAGTTAGCATGAATTCGGTTGATGATCGTAAAATCATTCATTGTCTGGGTTGATAAGGGGATAGTGAAAAATGGCATAGTTACACAAACAAATGCTCGGTAGACGGAGTTGATAAAGTCTAAGAAAATAAATTTAATAATATCATTTTCATGCATTTATTCCCCTTAATGAATTTGAACAAAGCAACAACTACAGTTTTAGCAGAATAAAATGGTACCATCTTTTATTTCGTCGCCTTCTCTTCAGCTGCTTACAGGGCAAAAACATTATTAAATGTATCTACAAAAACAATTTAACATACTTGCACAGAGTTCATTTTAAACAAAAATCAATCGATCAATATACTCATACACTAATAATATATACATATATATTTATATGCAATATTAAACACTATTCCGAACAATAATAATCATACAAAATGAAAACTTTTCAGTATCTCACATTTGGATGAAAAATATCCAGTTACCAGGGCAAAGAAAGACTGATAACCGGTTCTTTCTGAACGCACAAATCAGGTTTTAGGCGCTTGATGGAAATGGCTTCAGCAAACTTAAGGAGAATTGAGCTCTTTTGCTTATTGATAATTTTGAACGACTTTTCGACGTCCACCTCATGACTCGTGTCAAGAAGATGCCTGGCGATGGCACTGTTGAAAGAATTTGTTCCCTTTAGCCGTAAGCTTTTTGGTACATGTTCAGAAAGTCGTAGGTATGCTCTTCTTTTTGTTCTTCCAATGTAACTGCTCCCGCAGATACATGTAAATTTGTACACACGGTTGGAGTTAACATGAGAAGGATATCTATCGATTTTTGATTGCACCAGAGAACAAGTTGTTCGATAGACAAGAACGAGCTTAGCTGCAGGATAGGCAATGGCTAGTGATGTGCTCAGCCTTCTTTTGATCATCACTGAAATGTTTTCACCTTTATAATCAAGCTGAAAGTAGATTGGCTTTTTTCTACTGTGATTTGTTTGGTATCTGAGCCTTCACATCTTCCACACTTGTTGATGAACCTTTGAGGGTACCCATTGCTCTCCAATGTCTTTTCTTCCTCTAATTTCTCTATAGAGCACATTCTCCTCGCTCTATAGTAGAGAGTCTTTACTAAACCACGTTTAAAGGACAAAAGCTATTAAAATGTAAGTATTGTCCTTTCCATGTGGACTTTCGATAAATTGACTTTTGAAGACTACCGTCTTCTAGGCGTTCCATGGCAATGTCGAAGTAGTGGAACTTCCCGTCACTTTCATGTTCCATAGTGAACTCAATATTGGCGTGTGCATCATTGAATAGTCTTAGTAAGTATGAAGCATGACTTTCATTTTTGCACACTATAAATGTATCATCAACGTATCGACAGTAGGAAGTTGTTTCGTCGATTGCATGCTTCAACTTTGTTCTTTCAAGGTTGAACATGAATATATCTGCTATATATATCATTTTGTCCCCTTGGGTTCCTAGTGGAACATAGAGCTTCAACAACACGTCTCCACTTTGTTCGATGTTCTGCTGTCCTCTTCAGCTGGCTAGCTCCACCAGTGCCTATTATCTCTCATCACCTCCTCCCTACACGATCTCCTCTATGTCACCCTCGCGCCAACGACTTTCTTGTCGTTTCTCATTCGGATTCCACTCGAGCGATGGCCTGCATTTCACGCGATGTCATTCGACGGTTTCCTCAGTGTGTGTCCTATCCATCTTCATTCTCTCCTACATAGTTGTTGAACGACAGGTTCTTGGTTGGCTTTTTACCTGAGTTTATTGTTGCTAATTCTTTCTGACACGCCGGTTATTTGATCTTCAATATAGAGCCTAGGAAGCTATCAGTAAAAGTATGCAGTGGCCCATTGGAATTGCATTTCGGGATGAGTAGTGCAAGTTTCTGACCCGTATAGAAGAACTGACTACCTTCATATTTGTAATGAGAATCCGAAATCTTGCTTTCATGATCCTGGATGAAATTGATTCCCACTGCATTATAGCTTTGGCTGCTGTTAGTAAAATCATGATAGCCACTCACTGCCTCAGTGTGCTTGTGGTTGCTGTCTGTGTGACTGAAGTGGATTACTGACTCTCTGATTGACAATTTCGATATTCCAGAACCAATCCATCTAATCTCGCAGATTCCGAGCACTTCCATACTATACTTCTCATTTCTTTGGTTCCTTGGACAGCCTTCCCAGCCTTGTACATTGTAGGTACATTCCAAGTCACCATCTTTGTCTTTGCTTTCATCGAAAGAATAAATATCAACTGACTGGCCTCCTGAAGGCATTCAACATTCCTCTGTGTCAATTCTTCTCTTCAATTCCAGCGGACAATACGTTTTTTTTATAATTTTCTTGCGCATTGAAGTTTCTGGCGTAGGGTCGCTAACACTACATTCTATCCCCCTCTTTTGACGGGCTTGGGACCAGCTGGAAAACTAGCGAGCAAGTAAACTGGGCGAGGTTAAGAAAACAAACAGTGGATTATTATTATTATTGTTTCCTTTAGTTCCTAGAGGAACATAGGGCTTCAGCCTCACCTCTCCAATCCATTCGATTGTCTGCCAACATTTTCAACTGGCTCCACGTCTGCCCACATATTTTCATCTCCACTTCAAATGACCTCCTCCATGTCACCCACTCACTGACGACTGACTCGCCGCTTCCATTTCGGGTTCCACTCGAGCAATGGCCTGTCTTGTGATGTCACTTGATGATGATGATTTTTTCACCTCCATTTCTTCCTGCTTATTTATTGCACAATCGGTTCGTGGTTGGTTCACTCCCAGAGATCCCTGTTGCTGATATTTTCTGGCCACACATCTGATCTTGAGTCTTACTGAACGAAGACAGCTGTTGATGAGGGTGTGTAGTTTGTTCGAAGTGCTCTTTTTGACGCGCCAAGTCTCTGGTCCTAATAGTAGCACTGATTTACTTCACAGTTTAGTTGAAAATCCGAGTCTTATTTTTGATGCTGACTGCTGTTGACCTCCACACAGACTTGAGAGTAATGAAAATTTGCCTTGCTTTCACGATCCTCACCGCTCTGATATCCTCATCAGTTCCGTTCGTCTGTAGTTGAAGCGATGCTTCCCAGGTAGGTAATGGAGGTTTTTTCTTTCAGATTACTCCCATTTATGCTGGCTGATTGTTGTCTGTTGTTGTTGCTGTTGGTCAGGAATCTTCATCACCTACCTCTGTTTTCTCTGTGTTCACCTGAAGGCCTATCTCCTCTAGATGCTTCTTCTATCGCCAACTTGTTGCTTTTCATCACTTGCATATCTTCCAGTTTGTTAGGAATCAGACATATATCATCGGTGAAGTTCATATCTTGCAAGTTTTTTGTGTGAGTCCATTTTATGCCTGTCTTGTCGTTGCCCACTGTCTGTCTCATTATTCATTCTAGCGCCATCAATCAGGAAAATCACCCGGGATAGTAGGCAGCCAGCTTGTCTTACAGCCGTCTTCACTTCGAAGGATTCCGTGAGTTTACAATGGGATTAAATGATATTAAGTGTCATTTCAATCCAAAGGCGTACTCTAGGTTTCTCAGCCGGAAGCCGATGTGTCAACAGCGATAGAGTATTTCTTTCCAGCATAACCGATCAGCGTACAGTACGACAAAATGTCATAAACAATTAAAAAAATTTTAATTTTTGATTACAGCTTGATTCCACACCGTATTTTTTGGTACAGGTATGGAATTTTCAGCATGTGATATTGGTAGCCCAAATTTTGCAGGCCAACCATAGATATCAGGTGTGCGTCGGCAAGGGATCGGACCACGGACCATGTTCATGGTCGGCAAGAGTCCTAACCACTGTGCCCATTGCACGAAAGGTTGCTCTTGTTACCCAGTGACTTAGCATATACATAGAGAGAGAGAAAGGGCTTCAGTGTTTGCAAAGGTGGCTTTTGGGTTTGACTCTCCGTAAGAACACTATTATCACTCACTGGTAGTGCAAATAAATCCAGATGAAAAGTCCCGAATAGAACGAAACGCTCATTCTACATTCGACTGCTACTTCCGCAATATCAAGAGCACAACATCGCACTCTGATACTTTTTTTCTTAAAGACCAATAACATCGGAGGTACAGTGGTTAGGATGCTCGCCGACCATGCGCATGGTCCGAGGTTCGATCCGCTGCCGACGCACACCCGATATCTATGGTCGGCCTGCAAAATTTGGGCTACCGATATCACATGCTGAAAGTTCAATACTTGTACCAAAAATACTGTGCGGTTTCAAGCTATAACCAAAGAAAAGAATAAAATTAAAATTAACTTACCACTGTCTATCACTCCTCTAATTGGCTAATTCTTGAGAAATTTGTTAAAATTGATTAAAACCACATCGCTCTCTCTGTCATATGTTTATACATATTTATTTATTTATTTAATTATCTGTTTATTCATTAGCGTCAGCAATTATTTTCAATACGTCAACAGTTAGCCTTAGAATTCTATGAACATCATAACAGTGGGAATTGGCGTCGTATCTTTCCAACTGATGATCCAACACTGCAGAAGAAATATGCTTCAATGATTATTTCAAATTTTGGACAATTTCTTCATCGTAACAGAGGTGATCTGTTGGATGAAATGAAGACAACCTATCTAAATCCAATTACAGTAATTTCTTCTTTTTTCTTTCTTTGTTTTTACTGTTTTATGTCCACGGAGTGGAGTGGAGAGTGGCTTCCCTTCCCTTTACCTCATTCTCAGGCTTACTAAAGGCAAGTAAAATTAAGCCGAGGTTTCGGAGTATGTCGGTTGGGGGAACTGAACTTAAATCTCCAACGTTGCTGATGACTGTTTTACTATTCAATCGCTGACGTACATACAGAATACTATTGATACATTGTTTTTTTTTTCTCCTTTGTGATTTCCGTTGATAAAGAAGTATGGAGAATACTCGATACGACTGATAGAACTGGAAGATCGTTTTGTGGAAAACTGTAACATATATAAAAGTGGAGAAAATAAAGAGAAATGCAGAGAAATTATAATAACGGGAGGTGTGTAAGAGAAAGAATAACTACATGATGAATAATGAGAATTTAATGGGTCTAGGAGACCGTCACAGCGGTTAGGACGCTCGCCGACCATGCACATGGTCCGAGGTTCGATCCCCGACCGACGCACTCCTTTACCTCGGTAAGCTAGTAATAGAACTGGCAAAGAGGGAAGGTTGGGCATGAGGCTAGCAACCCCATCCTGTAAAAATAATCACCACTGCTACATAAACCTCAATTCTCTAGCTTGAAGCCCTATGTTCCACTGGGAACGTAAAGGAATAAAAAAAGAGACCGTCAGAGGGGAATGCATTTACTCCGTTTGAGGATGATTCTGAATGATGCCATCAAAAGTCTCAGTTCATTGGTACATAACGTCTCGAAGAGTGTAGTGCAGGTAGCCTACACCTCCTTAAATGGTTAAAATCGACAATTAAAGACTTTATGGTGTTATGTCATATTTTGACCTTGATCCACAGCTTTACATCAGCTAACACTGCTCGATGAGAAACGTGATGCCTTGGCGTGTGTAAGATTTTATCCCATCTGTCTCAATATTTATTAAGAAGACAATATTCAGCAAAGAGACTCTTTTCAACAGTGAATTTATTATCAAGCTGTACAGTCGTATGTATATATGGTTTTTTAAGAAATTATATTCGGTGAGGGAATTAGATCAAAGGTGTGAATACATGAAATAATAATAGGATGAAATGCAAGCATGTGGCAATTTATGACTTTAAGCCAGACCTTTGTGTACAAAAGAAGTATGTACAATCCCTACTTCTGCCTTGGCTATAGAGGGATAGACATTTATTTATTTTGTTTATTTAGTTATTCTATTTGTGCGTCAGTGGCATAGGAGTTGAAACGCTCACCGACCATGCACATGGTCCGGGGTTCGATCCCCGGCCGACGCACTCCTTTAACTCACTAAGCCAGATATAATGCTGGTGAAGAGGAAAGGTTGGGCATGAGGCTAGCAACCTCATCCTGTAAGATAAACACTGCTACAGAAACTTCAAGCCACTAGCTTGAAGCCCTATGATCCATTGGGGAACGTGAAGGAAACAAATTTAGTGTACCTTTCCGTTATTAATACTATTATTATTATTACTATTCTCACTCTGAATTGTTTCCACTTGTCCCACTTGTCATTCTAAATCCAAAAATGTTTTTACAATACTGAATTCTACCTTATCAAATTTCACTCAATGTTATGTAACATTTTATATTCGACTACTAATCCTATAATTATGCACCCCTTTCCAACATCTATACACCTTATGTATTATTCTACATATGACATTGATTGTTTTGCCACTTGACATTTAACTATGATTATAATCACAAACATTTTAGTTTTAATTGCATTTCATGCTACTATTATTATTATTATTTCATGTATTCACACCTTTGATCTAATTCCCTCACCGGATATAATTTCTTAAAAACCATATATATATATATATATATATATATATATATATATATATATATACGATTGTACAGCTTGATAATAAATTCACTGTTGAAAAGAGCCTCTTCGCTGAATATTGTCTTCTCAATGTTTATTTTCTGACTACATAATTGTATTTGTAAACATTGAGCAGGTGAAGGTTATAACCGCAGCTAGCATTTCGTATTAGTTCCCTGATGGAATGATTAGTGCCAAAGCCACATATTAGGAAAAAAGAGGAGGATCGTGATTCCCACACGATCTATGAACAAGATATTCAACTCCAAATTGGATTTCTGTCAGCTCATCCTGACCAGCCAAAAGGTAGTTTTCATACCTTAAATTAGTGATTTGTTGATCATTTTGTAATGGTGGAAGACAAAAAACTGCGTAAAGGAATGTTTACTTACAATTTGGTATCTCAATATGACGAAATTATGTACACCTTATCTTCAAAGCACCATTTGCACAGATCCTCTGTATTGTGCCTGCTACTTCTGGCCTTCCTTTATATTGTGTTCCTTTGTGTTCCTTTCACGTCCCTTATGTACCTCCGCAAAGCTGTATCATTTGCTTTCTCTGACATCAAATCTATCTCCTTGATATTTGGTGTTTTATGCTGATGAACATCTCGTTATACGTGTATACTACTGATAAACCTTATCAGTAGCACAAGCAGCAATATGAAAGAAACTATATGATCAGCTGTAATTTACAGTCTGAGTGATCACTTGCACACTCTTGCGTACTGAAAAAGCAATAAGAAATAACCCCAATCAAGTACTTTTCTCCGTTTCAATACAACCAGTATAAGGATAGTCTCATCATCAATAGAAATTAGGCGCTTTCCGTTTATCCAGAGTTCGATATAGTAGGTAATCACGGCAGAAAAATAACAGGGATGTGACTTCACACACAAGTATGGCGCTCAAGTGTAATCAGAATGGGAAGTTAGGTGTTCAATATTGAAGAGAACATGTATGGGAGGAATGAATGCTTGCTGGGGATCATGGAGACTACAGGGAACAGAATACAACAGTAGTGTGCTGATAAAGCCTAAAATTCTGCTCAATAACGCGAGGAAAGAATAATGATGACAGTATGATGGATTGAATTCAAGATCATCAGGTTTCAGTGAGATCATATGATCATTCATCCACTTGTTTTGACAGCATCCAATGCTCAGTTATTCTTTAATTAGTGTCCTCAAAGAATAATTAACAGATATGGAAGATGCGAAGGCTCAAACATCAAACAGATCACAGCTGTCTTCATTCATCTAGATTCTAAAGGTGAAAACATTGCAGCAATGGTCAACAGAAGACTGAGTATGTCACTAGTCAGAGCCTATCCTGCAGCTAAGCGGGTTCCCATCTATCGAACAACGTGCTGTTTGGTGCAGTCAAAAGTCGACAGATACCCTATTCATGTTAACTCCAACTGTGTATACAAATTTACGTGTATCTGCGGGAGCAGTCACACTGGTAGAACAGAAAGAAGGGCACACCTCCGATTTTCTGAACATGTGTCAAAAAGCCTACATCTCAAGGGAACAAACTCTTATATTAGCACTACTACCAGGCATCTCCCCGATACGGGTCTTGAGGTGGATATCGCAAAATCCTTTAAAATTATCAATAGACAGAGGAGATCAATTCTCCTCAAGTTTGCCGAAGCAGTTTATATCAGACGGTTGAAACGAGATTTATGTGTTCAGAAAGAAGCAGTTATCATCAGTCTTTTCTTGCCCTGGTAACTGGATGTCATTATTATCTCTTTCATTTGATTACGTAATCCTTAGCTTTAACCTCACCCCTTTGAAATAGTGGGATTTTGCCTGTTTCTTGTTTCTATGATTTGAGTTGAACTCAGTACATCGTTACCTAATTTATTAGTCACTCATCATCTTACGCATCTCTCGTCTTTATTACGTAACTTCTTTACCATTGTATGCATACATTTATTTTGTTCAAACTTGAACTCCCTGTGCAAAAACTTTATAAGCGCAATTTTCTGAGCACTGTTCACTAATTGCGGAACTTTCTGTCAACTGACATTAAGAAAAATTTGCAAGTGTGTCAAAAATTTTCTGTACATAAACGTCATAATTTATTTAGGCTGTAAACAAGCAGCTGAGTTGATGAGAAGCCAACGAAATAAGCAATGATGGTACCATTTTATTATTCTGCACAAACCATACTGTTGTTCTTGCTTTATTCAAATTCTTGTGAAGGGGAATAAGTGCATAAAGTTTCTGAAAATAGTATGTAAACAAATTTCACTGGTATTTCTGCGTAAGTGATTCTATGTGGTTCAGAGACTTGTCACTCATATCACCGACAGCATTTCATCAAAAAGGTTGTAGACTTTTATCGTTGGCTGCCTTGACATTTTACTGTGAAGCTCAGAAGACGAGAAGGGAGAAAATATTGTACAATTAAGAAACAAAGCAGCAAAAAAAAGACGCAACAAAAGCTACGCATTTTTGATGTTAAGACAGGTCATGTCCACTGTAGATTTTTAACTACCATTGCTTCTGCAGTTCGAAGAAGTTTGATTCGTATTCTGTAAATGACTTTAAAGTTTCTTTATGGGTTTGCTTAGTGTCCTGATTCGATCAGGTGTTCCAGAACAGGGCTTCGGTGTGGGTGGGGGGACTCTTTTTCTCATTTATAAAACCATGAGGGTAAGTGTACGATGGTTAGTTTGGATAATAAACGCTGGGTATGGCCGACATACCTAGTTCCACAAGTGGTGCAGGTGAATTGGTAGATGCACACTGATGAGGCTGGCCAACAGTGGTAACTTATCCCTCAGGTTCATGCGAATCAAATATGCAGAAGCAAATGGAAATGGATTGGACATATACGAAGCAGAATGTTGACTGAAATCATGCTTCATGTTGTCGCGTGAAACTCAAAAAGGGGAACGATAAGTTGGGCGTCATTTCGAGACTGAAATGAAGAAGATCGCAAAAGGACGAGAAGGAGGAGGCGATGACAGGTTATGATCAGTCGTCAGGTAACTGGAAGTTATTTTAGAGGACATTGTGGAATGGAGATGTGTTGTTGAAATCCTGTGTTCCACTCAGAAGCTAAGGGAATAATAACAACAATAATCATTATGATCAGTGTTGTCTCATCTAATATCAGTTTATTATTATTACTATTTCCTTAATTCCTAGAGGAACAAAGGACTTCGGCCGTACGTCTCCATTGCGTTCGGTTCTCTGCTAGAGTTTTCACCTGGCTCTAAGTCTGCCCACATGCTTTCATATCCTCTTCACCCTCGCACTGACCAACAACTCGCCGCTTCCCTTTCGGATTCCAGTCGAGCAATAGCTTGTCCAGTGATGTCACTTGATGGTTTCCTCAGAGTATGGCCAACCAATCCATCTCCATTTCTTCCTGCCTATTTGTTGCACAATTGGTTCCTGCTGCGTTGGTTCGCTCCCAGAGATTTATCTTGCTGATCTGTTCTGACCGGACATCTGATCCTGAGTGGTATTGAGCGAATACAACTGTTAATGAAGGTCTGTAGTTTGTTTAAGATGCTCTTCATGACGCGCTGGCCAAGTCTCTGATCTGTATAGTAGCACTGACTTCACATTGTATTTGAAAATCCGGATCTTTTTCTTGATGCTGAGTGCTGTTGATCTCCACACAGACTTGAGAATAATGAAAACTTGCCTTGCTTTCACGATCCTCACCGCTTTGATATCCTCGTCAGTTCCGTACGTCTGTAGTTGAAACGATGCTTCCCAGGTAGATAATGGAGATTGCTTCTTTAAGATTACTCCCTTTTTTGCTGGCTGATTGTTGTCTGTTGTTGTTGCTGTTGCCGTTAGTCAGGAATCTTCATCACCTACCTCTTTGATGCTTCTTCTATTGCCAACTTGTTGCTTTTCGCTTGCATATCTTCCACTTTGTGGGAAGTCAAACATGTATCATCGGCGAAGTCCAGATCCTCCAAGTTTTTGTGTGGGTTCATTTTATGCCTGTTTACTCATCGCCCACTGTCTGTCGCATTATCCAGTCTACTGCAATCAGGAAAATCATTGGTGATAGTAGGCAACCAGCTTGTCTTACTCCTGTCCTCACTTCGAAGGATTCCGTAAGTTTCCCGTTGTGGATTACTTGGCATGCAGCATTGTCGTACAGCTGTTGGATGAGATGTATAATTGTCAAAGTAGTGCTGGTGTTGTTCTGATTGTTTTATTCCTTGTTTTTTCCTGGTTTAAAGGGGAGCAACCCACAAGGTCGCTTCTCTCTAAACTATATTTTCACGTAATAATATAATATCAATATGTTGAGTAAAAGTTGAAAATGGATCACAAAGCACTGCTAATAGTGATAACAGAACTCCAATAGTAGAGATTATGTAAAATTTCACAGAAATAGAAAGAAAAAAAAATAGGTTTCTGTCATCAGGTTATTGCCAATACGAGTTGCAAGAAAAAACACTTGAGACAACATTGAAGGAAATACAGATGAGTTGAGTTCAGGAGAGAAAAAAGTACCGGCGCCTTATTAAATACTGCTGGTGTATAAAGCATAACAGAGTTTCCCTCCCATAGGAATGCTCAGTGATCCACTTTGTGGACGGGTTTACGTCAATGTGGGAATTTGGACAGTTGAATTGTACAGAAGTTGTGATACTGTAACAGACCTGGAAAGCATTTCATATTATTTATTATAGAAGCCACTATGTAAAAAATTCTTTATGTGGGGAAATAACTTCGCTGAATCAGCGGTCATTTCAAACATGCATATATTATATATATATATATATATATGCGATCGCTAAGATGAGTAACTATTCGCCCCTTCTTCTACATGACTAAGTTCACGCTTTTCGAATTGATTTGTATTGCACCACAATGCTCGGTGTCTTTTGAAATGTCAGCTCCTAGCACGGAAGTTTCCACGGTATCCATGATTCATGCTTTACCCACTGGCCTAGTGGACAGTACTTTGAGATCGGGTTCGAGTCTTAGTGTGTAGACCGACCACTGGTCACTGGGAATTCAGGGAAAATCCAGATGACAGCTGCCAAATAGGATGAAATGTGCATCTCTCATGAATTCCACTGCTAGTCATCATCAATAAAGATGTCTACTTTTCATTCAGTGTTCAGTGTTTTAATGAGACCGGTGAGATACAAACGAACGCTGGTGAAAACGCTGTTCTCTAGAGCGAAGAGAATATGTTCACCAAACAAACTAGACAGTGAACTAATGTTTCTTGAAAAATGCTTGAAAGAAAATGGTTACCCACAAAGTTTCATTAACAAATATGGCAAGAATGAACTCAAGAAGCCTGATACTGCTACAGTCAGTAAGAAGCCTATTTTCATCAAACTCGACTACAAGGGCGACGACATTATGAGAATGATAAATAAAAGATTAAGCACAGCCATGTCTAGGACGTATCCTGCAGCGTTATTAATCTCTCTATCCCGAACAACCTCTTCACTGGTGCAGTCAAAGATTGACAAGCACCCCTCACATGTTACCTCCAACTGTGTATACCAATTCACATGTATCTGCGGGAGCAGTTACATTGGAAGAACAGAGAGGAGGGCCTACGTCAGATTCTGCGAACATGTACCAAGGAGCCTCCGGTTAAAGGGACCGAATTATTTAAGCTCTTCAATCGCCAAACATCTGATTGACACAGGACACCAAGTAGATGTGCTGGAATCATTCAAAATAATTAACAGACAAAGTACCTCAAGTCTTCTCAGGTTTGCTGAAGCTATAGCGATAAAACGATTTAAGCCTGACTTTTGTGTCCAAAAAGAATCTGTCGTTGGACTTCAATTACCCTGGTAACGCACTTCTTAGTAGCTCTTTGTTTTCTAATTTTGTTAACTTACCTTTTCATTCCACCCCCCCCCCTTTATGTTTCGCTTGACTCTCTTAAGAGGTGATTTTTCTTGATCTTCTGAGTTCTGCTCACTGTATTACATCATCAACTTCTCATCTGACCTCACGTGCGCCATAATTTTAAAATTTTGATCTTCTCTTATCTAATTACGTAACTATCGTAACTGTAAGATGATTTCAACCATTGAAAGAAATAAAAACTAAAGCCTAATTACTTTTTTCTGTTTGTTTATATACAGGAAGATGATATTTTTAACAAATTATCAAAATTAATGAAAAGTGAATTAAAGTCGAAACCAGGAATAAATGTAAGTTTGATTTAGCCTTTTAGTTATGTAAAATATATAGATTATATATGCATATGTATACGTATATATATATATATTATTCCCTTGGGTTACAAGTGGAACATAAGGCTTCACCGCCATACCTACATTACAGCCTATTCTCTCCAGGCCTCTTTAGCTGACCCCGCGACTGTCCATAAGCACTCATCTCCTGCTCATATCACCGTCGAAGGGACGCCCAAGTCGTCGTTTATAATTCGGGTTCCACTCGGTTGATGGTCTGCACTGCGCGCGATAACATTCAGCAGTCTCTTCACTTTATCCGATCCATCTCCATTTTTCTTTTCAGAAACAGCTCCTTGATTGGTTTTCCTTTTATGGCACAGTTCCTTGTGGCCTATCCTGTGTAACTATTTGGTCTTCAGTAGTAGGGAGCCATCGAAGGCAATCGTTGATAAAAGTCTGAAGTCTGTTGGGTGGGAATGCCTTTTGCAGCTGGACAAATCTCTGACTCATATATGGAAGAACTGACCAATTTGACATTGGTGTTGAAAGCCTAAATCTTCTTCTTTATGCCGGTTGAGTGCGAAAGATTTCAAAAGTGATTTCAGATTGATGAAGGTGTACTGCCTTGCCTTTCCGATTCTGGCTGGCTGGTTTTGACATCTTCATCCGTGCTGTCCAACTGACTGTGTTTGAAACCGTGATTCCTAGATAAGTGAAGCCAGGAAGTAATCTCTTTCAAATTTCTATCGTTGATGGTGATTGGTGCTGGTTGTTGTTGATGTTGTTGGTTGCTGTTGGTGGTGGTGGTTGATTATTTTCATCTCCTCCGACTTCTCTATGTTCACCTGTAGTCCTATCTTTGCTGCCAGAGTTTTTAGCTATTTTGTTGGTTTTCGCCTGCCTGGAAGTCTTCGATAATGTGAGACATTAAACACAAATCATCGGGTAGTGCAGAGTATTTCTGTCTTCTCATTCACAACGCACAGTCTGACTCATAATCCAGTGCACCACAATTAGCAATATCATCGTTAGTGATAACAGGCAGTCAGGTAGTCTTCTTTTACTCCCGTATTCACTTCGAACGCCTCGCTGAGTTTTCCATTGTGGATCACCTGACATGTGGCACTGTCACATAGCTAACGGTTGAATGAGGTTAATAAAGATTTGGGGTACATTGTAGTGTTGAAGTAGCTTCCAAATTACTTCTTGGTCAACGCTGTCTGTCGAAGGCCTTTTCGAAGTCGATGAAGTTTAGGTAGAGAGAGGTTTGACTGCCATTCTATGCTTTGTTCGATGATGATGACAATGCCTGGAGTTGCAATTTGATCAGCACATCATTTGCCTTTCCTGAATCCAGCTTGTTCCGGTGGGCGGTGAATTTCTGCATCCAGTGTGGTGAGAGCTGTATGCAAGCCAAAATTATAGACAAAAATTTACGTCACTGTTTACGTCCCAAATCGGGGTCATGAAAAAACAACAACAACAACAAAGCTTAAACTTTAGGAGCTCACCGACCAGTCACAGCAGACTTAACGTGTGTGCAAATACGATTCGCAGATAGATGGCTTAACTTTCTGAGAAACGGTCATAGGTGGTACAGAATAACCTTCAGCAAGAAAACAACCAATCAGAAGACATTGTTGCTTCTCTGCTAACAGTAACACTGATAACAATGTACACAGAAATCTATAGATATCTGTTGATTTTCTGAATAAACGATCTGTTTCCTGTACATGCTTTTATTCCCCGCCTCTCTCTGTGCAGAATGACGCAACTTAGTATTTCACTTGGATAAGCATATATTATCAGTCATTATCTGAAGTATACTTAATAAATAAGTGACTACATATATTTAACAAAAAATCACTTCATCTTATAAATAACTGCTAATGTTGTTTGTCACGATTTTATGCATATTTATTTATTTATTTATTCATATAGACTGAGGAACATTTAACTCAAATCTGGTCACAATGTATCGATAATTATCCTATCAGTGATAATGATATTGATGATGTCGATGACCCGGTAGCATTCGATGATGACATTGACATGAAACATACTGATAGTGATGACTTTTATTCATTTACAAAAAAGAAGGAGGTAAATAAAAGAAATCAGAATAAGATTAAGATGATGGATCATTTAAAAAACACGCCGATCACCTCTTTATCACCATCACCACCATTATCACCAACATCATCATCCTCCCGCACGATGATGAATACAGTCATATCAAAAAAATGCATACCAGATTATTCATACAGTTATATACCTAAAAACAATAAACACAAATCCTATTCTTCATCAACCCTATCGTCTATTCAATTGTTCAATGAAAAATGTAAGCCTACTGATGAACAAATCAAGTTATCATTTGGCAGAAGGTATAAATCGTGTGAATTTCATGCGTTAAATAATAAAGCCCAGTCAAAATGTAATAAAAGACAATTCATGAAGAAAATCACTTCATCTTCTAATATTACTTCTAGTAGGTGTAGCAATTTCCCGCCTAATGTTTATTCATCTTCATTGGAACATTTAAACAACAATTGGGATGTTCAATATTCAATGGGTAAATATTCATCATTACACCGTAATAATAATAATAATAACAATTCAGATGAAGAGAAATCAGTCGATTTAGAATCACCAGTAAGATCCATAATTGAATAATAATAATAATAATAGTTATAATAATAGAGAGTTATATTTTCAAAAAACGAATTATTGCTTCAATATCCCAAATATTTATGCGTGTATCTATGAGTACAGATAAATATATATATATATACTTTAAAAAAAGACCGACATTTTGATGCAAAAAGTGAAACCTTTAATCAGATATATTTCCGTTTGCATTTCTGATGTACAGTTTATTTTAATGTTGGTATTTTGAAGAAAAAAAGCAACAACTCTATTTAACCGATATCTGTGTATAAAAAAGAAAATCTAAGCATGAATGATGCAATAACAGTCTTAGTTACTATTTTCGATAAGGGCTAGAGATTTTCATGGAAGCCAGGAGTACTGAATGTTCATATTTTTTATTTCCAAGCTTTATTCGAGCTGTAGACATAAGTCAAGGCCTATTATTATTATTTCTGAATTAGTTCACAACTTCCACGGTTTTAAGGAAGTGAAATCTCTGCACAGTTTACTTTGGAAACCGATATGATATAATCTGCTAGATACTATAAATAGTAATGAAGAAACCAAGCATATTTGCATGAAAACATATATATACTACTGATTGATTGAGATGAGTAGTAGCTCGACCAGAGATGAGGGAAACGGTTGTCCAGCAGGTGTTTAAATAACTTTGATCCTGCTAGCAAGCACTGCTGGTTAGTGTGAATGGTATAAAACCACTCATTACAGTCAATCGATAGTATGTATTGATTGTGTTTGTTGTTATTCCCTTGGGTTCCGGGTGGAAAATATAGGGCTTCAATAGCCGATCTCCATTTTACTCTGTTCTGAGAGGTCCTCTTTATCTGGCTGCATGATTTCCAGTAGACAGTCATCTCCTCCTCACAAGATCTCCTCAATGATATATACATGGATAGCCAATTTCTCGCTTCCCATCTAGGTTCCACTAGAGGGCCAGACGTGTGACTTCAACCAACATTTTCCTCACTATGTGTCTCATTCATCCCCATTTTCCTGGGAATATTTGTTGCAAGATAGATTCATTGTTGCTCAACAATACTGAGATTAATTGGTTACAGGATTTCACCATGAGCTGACATCGGTTAGAAAACCATTGAAAACTACCACTGTAAATGTGTCTGTTGACTGCTGAATACCCAGGCTTCTAGAAATTCGCTGGTATTTTCGGTGTTTCTCCTGTCTATAATATGAACATTATCCCAAACGAATCGATATCTGTATGCAGTGATATGAGGGAGTGCATATCGTGCCTTTTGACGGTCATTTTAAGTTCATGGATGAGAAGACGAAGAGGACATTCACTCTGACTATTGTAATGTTTTTCGCAGTTGCCGCACTTTATCTTGTGGATGATGTCGGTTTTAACTTCTTTCTCTGTTCAGTCTTTTGGTCTGGACAGTACAGAGTGAAGTGATATTCAGGATTTCATCATGATGAGTTGACATCCGTTAGAGGACCATTGGAAAACCACCACCTGAGTACTGGACAGCTGTTTCGTCCTAGTTTGGGACTCTGCTTAAGCACTACGAACCCGCTGAGATTCGAACTCAGGACCTTTTGGTTGCAAGGTGAGCTCGTAGACCAATAAACCACTGGGACCCAACTCTTTGATGACATTGGCGTCATATCATGAATTGGCAAAAGTTAGGATTCATGGGCTGGCCATTGGATCGGGTCCCAGCTAGCTGGCCTTGAAACCAGAAGGTCGTGGGCTCGAACCTCAGTGGGTACGTACTAATGAAGAGTCCCAAACTGGGGCAAAGCAGTTACCCAGTACTCCAATGGTGCTTCTCCAGTGGTCCTCTAACCGATGTCTGCTCATCATGATGAAATCTTGAAACCAATGAAATCCCTGCAAACCAACAACTGAATTGATTTTGTTGGTTTCTAGGTGACATCAACCGCAAAAGGTTTGAATTGTCTTGCAGTGATTTCGGAGATGTTCTTTATCTGTAGTAGGACAACGTTTTGTGAACTTTCATTGGGGGGACTATCGATTTAATCGGTTGGGTTGGTAGAGGATATGTTTTGATAACGTTTTGTGGAGATCCATTTTTTTGGACGACAGCCATAAAATATTCTTCTTCTATTTTCTTCAAATACAAGTAATAAAAAGTTTCTTGGCGCATAGTATATGATGCATTCATAACAATGTTTTGCAGTGCTTCAGTTTGAACGTAAGCAATTTATATGAACTTATTCGCCATTGTTTAGACCTGATCATTTCTGCTTTGTTAGGAGGGGAACAAGACTAAAGGACAACATTATGAACAGAAAGCATGGACAAGATTTATAGCTTAGGTGGATGATATTGAATTAGTTGTGTTCTCTGAGCTGGTTGATTTAATTACGAAGTATTCGTCATTCCTATTGTAGAGAAAATCTTCCTTCAGAACAGGTTTTATTTGAATTCCCCATTTATGATGTAATCGTATTTCATGGGAACCAATGTCGTGACTGATTGTTGATTTACGTCTCTGATAATTATATTTTTATTGACTTGGAATTCGAGCTTTCTTGTCATATATTATTATATTATTAATAATTATTATTGTTCCCTTCGGTTCCTAGTGGAACATAGCGCTTCAACTACACGTCTCCACTTGTTTCTGCCTTCTGCTGTACTTTTCACCTGCATCCATGTTAGTACATACTGTTTCAACTCCTCTTCACACGATCTCCTCCATGTCACATTTGGATGTCCCACTCACCGCTTCCCTTTCGGGTTCCACTCGAGCGATGGCCTGACGCGCGATGTCACCCAGCGGCCTCCTCAGCGAGTGTCCAATCCATCCCCACTTTCTCCTGCATATTTGTTGGGCGATTGGTTCTTGTTTTGTTTGTTCCCATAATTTCTTGTTGGTGATTCTCTGCGGCCTTCTGATCTTCAGTATAGAGCGAAGACAGTTGTTGATAAAGGTCTGCAACAGGCTGTTGGAAATATTCTTTGTGACCCGCCAAGTTTCTGATCCGTATAGAAGAACTGACTGACTTGACGTTTGTGTTGAAAATCCGAATTTTCTTGTTGGTGTTGAGTGACGAAGATTTCCAGATTGGTTTCAGGTTGATGTGTTTCTCACCTTCCCGATTCTCGATTTGACATCCTCGTCCGTTCCTCCTGTAGTTGAGACAATGCTTCCTAGATAAGTGAAAGAAGTAACCTCTTTCAAATCCATTCCGTTGATGGTGGTTGGCGCTGGATGTTGCTGCTGTTGTTGTTGTTTGTTGGTTGGTTATTTTCATAACCTTTGTCTTGTCTATGTTCACCTGGAGTCCTGTCTTTGCTGCTTCTTCGACCAGTTTGTCGGTTTTCGCTTGTAAGTCTTCGATTTTGTGTGACATCAGACATAAATAATCCGCGAAATCCAGGTCTTCTAGGTTCTTCACGTTTTGAATACTTCGATGTGTACAATACTGAATGAAGTGATTGTGTTGGTTGGCTTGTGTGCTGCGTTTATTTTAAATGGTTTTAGTATTCTGAAATAATAGAGAAGATTTGTAGCTCAGGTGGATGATTTGCAATTAAAAGTGTTCTCTGAGCTGGTTGGTTTAGTTGCGAAGCTTTCTTCGTCCTTCTGGACAACATCTTCAGCGCCATATTTAGCACAAAGTGAAATGATTTAAATTTCATCATGCGTGATGTAATTGCGTCTCCTGGTAACTATCTTTACATATGTATTGACCACTTTCTATTGACTTGGATTTTAAACTTTTTGGTCACCTGATTTACTTTTTATTAATTGGTATATTTCATCTATATTAACGTGTTTGTTAATCGCATTTTCGCTTGAGTACCAGGCTTCTAGGAATTCTCTGGCACTTTTCGTGTTTCCTCTGTCTAAGAAAAGAATGGAAGAAAAGTACCTACAAACGGTCTTCAAAAAGAATGGTTATCCACAAAATTTCATCAAAAGAGGTTTAAAGTCGAATCAAAACACCAACAAGAAACCATCATCAAAGACCACAAGAAAATTCATTCTACCATACATGAGGAATATCTCTGAAATAACAGCTAGATTACTGAAACCGTTTGATATAGATATAGCACACAAATCAGTAAAGTCGCTTAATTCGATATTACGCAAACCAAAAGATCCAACAGAAAAAGGGGATAAAATTAATACCATTTACAAAATAAATTGTATGAACTGCAACAAACATTACATCGGCCAAAGTGAGCGTCCCCTTCGAATCAGAATCCAAGAACATAATTCAGCCGTGAAAAGACATGATATGTATTCTCTAGTATCAATGCATACAGACAATTATGGTCATCAATTTGATTGCGATCATGTCAAAATCTTAAACAGAGGAAACACGAAAAGTGCCAGAGAATTCCTAGAAGCCTGGTACTCAAGCGAAAATGCGATTAACAAACACGTTAATATAGATGAAATATACCAATTAATAAAAAGTAAATCAGGTGACCAAAAAGTTTAAAATCCAAGTCAATAGAAAGTGGTCAATACATATGTAAAGATAGTTACCAGGAGACGCAATTACATCACGCATGATGAAATTTAAATCATTTCACTTTGTGCTAAATATGGCGCTGAAGATGTTGTCCAGAAGGACGAAGAAAGCTTCGCAACTAAACCAACCAGCTCAGAGAACACTTTTAATTGCAAATCATCCACCTGAGCTACAAATCTTCTCTATTATTTCAATAACAAAACTTATCATTGTGTGTAAACTATTGAAATATAATTGTACTTTATTTAATTATATATGTGTTTATATACATAGAATATTCAAGAACAGTCGTCAGTGACAATATTGATGTTTTTAAATAATATCGATTTGTTAAGTAAAGCAATGGAACTATACAGACAAATAGATGGTGTGGCGATGGGGTCACCACTAGGATCCATTCTACCCGACATTTTCCTTGCAAAACTAGAGAATGGGCCTTTGAAAGATGTCAATAATGAACTAGACTTCTACTGTCGGTACATTGATATGACACATCTATAATTATGAAAAATGAGGATGAAGCGAAGAACATCCTGGATAAATTTAACGATGTTCATCCTGTGATAAATTTTACCATTGAGAAAGAAAAAGACTACTGTTTCATTCCAAGACGTCCTTATGACTAGAAAAAGAGGAAGGTACAACAAGAAGAAGTGTATATATGAAACCTACATCGACTGGTCAGTATACTCATTTTTCAGCTTCGTGCCTTTGAATTACAAACACAATTTAACAAAGTGCTTGGTCAACAGAGCAAGAACAGTCTATTCTGACGAATGTCTTAATGAAAAGCTTAATATTGTTAGACAGTTGCTGAGTGAGAACAGTTATCCAGAAAAATTCATCCACAAAAAAATGAATCAAAAGTGAAGGCAGGCCAAAGTACCAACAGTTCTGAAAAAGGAAGGCCTTGATCTTACAACTTCCCTTCCTTGGGGATAACGCCTAAGAAATGCGGTAAAAGGGCATTCAGTGCTTCTGAATTATGCTGTGTCTTCAAAATCACGCATATTTTGCGTTTAGGAGTTAAAGATAAACTGCTTAATTTCGCTTCTTCTTTGTGTATTTACCAATTCGACTGCTTCTGTGGAGCCACTTACATAGGTCGTACAATTAGACATGTGTATCTTTGGATTTCTGAACGTCATCCTGTGTGGTCAAGTAAGGGGAAAACAAAGTTCATTCATAGCTAGCTCTATTTTATCTCATTTTGTGGATATAGAACACGAGATTAATGTTAACGAGGCTGCTTTCAAAGTCATCTACCGCATACTAACTAATCTTAACTTTACCTTAAGAGTTCGTCTACTACATATTGCTGAGGCTGGCTGTTGGGATCTACATTAAGAAACCTAACTTATGTATCCAAAAGAAGTTGGTTCAGACACTGTCCTTACCTTGGTCAATCAAGGTTTGATTGATCCTCAATTTGTTGTGGAAATTTCCTCAATTTTATTTGATATTCTACTCACTATTACGTTGTTTTGCTTATTATAACTTAAGCGTCTTTCGTGAACTGTAATTCCATTGTGATCTTACCGAACAAATCGACAGTATTTAAAAACACCAGTATATCCTGTATATATATATATATATATATAATTGTAGAGCCAGAAGAGGTAATTACCGAAGAGGATATTCTTTGTTCATTATTTTTTTCTAAATGTCTGAATGAATATTTTCGCTATATAGAAATTTTCTAAATATTATTTAAAAATTAGCACTTATGCATCCTAATTCGACTCTTAGAGAGATACAAAATATTTACTATTTGTAATTTCCGGTATATATATATATATAGATATTGCTGGATCAAAATGCTCGGTCTTGGTTAACACTTTGATCCGGTCACTAACTAACATCCATCCATCCATCTGATGAGTCTCTCTAAGCTTTGAATTTTCAGTAACGATTGTGCCATTTCATTTTACAGGGTGGGGCTGTTAACCTCACATCCAACCTTCTATCTTTTCCTAGCCTACTGTCAGCTAGGCAAGGTTTTTAGCAGTGTGCCTGCCGAAAATTAAACCTGGACCTGGATTTTCAAGCATTCTGCCATTGGGTAATTTATGCACTGCAATTTGATAAAAGGTTTTAGAGACGTTCAGTGGATTATTGGCATAAATTGTTTATTGTTATTACTTTACTTGCTCTAAAATTCAGATATGCGTTACTCAACTTTGAGATCTGTATCTTTACAGTTAAACTACGATTGTACAATGAGTAACAGTGTAGTGTCATTGGGGATAGTCATATCACATAACACACCTGATCAACACATTCTGATCATCATTCAGGGTATGACAGCTACAACGTCCACTACTTGTCAGTCACTTATTTATTTTTTTATTCCTTCACTTTCCCAGTGGAACATAGGGCTTCAAGCCTCTGGCTTGAAGTTTCGGTAGCAGTGGTGCTTGTCTATTTTTACGGGATGAGGTTGCTAGCCTCATGCCCAACCTTCCCTCTTTACCAGTTTTATCACTGTTGAGGCGAGGTAGGGGAGTGCGTCTGCCGGGGATCGAACCTCGAACCAAGTGCATGGTCGGCGAGCGTCCTAACCGCTGTGCCACCGACGCACCAGTCACTTATTGCACATAATAAAATCTTATAGGGGTGTGGCATAGCCTTACCAGCTTAATAGTAAGGTAACGGAATCAGGCACCGAGTGAAGCAAGTTTGAACCATGGGGAGATTATCAGTTACTACAGATACTTCTTGATTATATTTGCCATCAAGTATGAAAATCAGGTGAACCAGAATGCTGCAAAGTCCAGGAAGAAATGTCGCTTATGTGATAATGTTATTAATTCGGTTGGAGGATTTCATCACGATGAGCTGACATCAGTTAAAAAAACCAATGGAAGACCATCACTGGAGTCCTGGACAGCCATCTGTTTCGTCCTAGTTTGCGACTCTGCTTCAACAGTACGTACCCACCGGGGCTGTTGGATCGGGTGTCAGTGGCTTAACAGTCTACTTGCTCGCCTTGTGACCAGAATGTTCTGGTTTCGAACTGAAGAACAGTCCCAAACTAGGACGAAACAACTGTCCAGTACTTCATTGGTGATTTTCCAATGTTCCTCTAACTGATGTAAGCTGATCATGATGAAATCCTCTAACCGATCAGAAAAATCCCTGAAAAAACCAATACTTGAAAATGTTATTGATTGTCATTAAATTATTTTTCTCGATAGGTGTTGTTCTTCTAAACTGCTGTATACCTCACAGTTATATCTAGCAGAAAACTGAGAATGACCAGACAAAGGCGATGACACATATTCATGAAGTCCATGATTGTTTACCTAAACTGTGTAAGAATATTTACACTTAGACAGCTAGAGTTTGCAAAACCTAAAAACTCAGTATAGACAGACCAGTAGTTTTTTTCACCTTCTTGACATCTTTTCATCAAGTGACTACTATTTTCTTATTTCTTTGGATTCGTACTGGAACCTATAGCTTCAGACTTTGAAGTTCGTGTAACAGTTCGTGGGGTTATTTTCACCCGGGGGAAGGGTGGGATAGCTGGCTGACTTCACTCGCAACCTTACCAGGCTTACTTGCGACTAGTAAATTGTACAACATTCAGAAGTTCACCAGCAGGGAGTCAAACTTACTACTGCTGTATGGTTGGAGAATATGCTGCTATCAGAAATTTAGTATCTTGGACTTATTCTCTCTTCTGATCTCTCCTGGTCTTCCCATGTCTTAGCGATCTCCAGTAAAATATTCCGCCTGACATTTTACATTAAGAAGTTAAGGCGATCGGGGATAACTCAACCCCTCCTCTTACAGTTCATAAACTCTTGCATCCTACCTATTCTTCTTTATTGTTCACCCTTATTCTTTCCTGGTTTGCTTAAAAAGGACAATGTCACAATTCGTAGAATGCTGAAGACTGTCAGTAGGATGAGTGGTGTCCCAGTGGACTACATAGTTAACTTCTCTATCGATAGGCACTTGACTTCGTGCAATAAATTTGCTAAAGGGATTTTGTCTGACTTGGAGCATCCACTTCACCCTCACCTTTCACCTTGTATCTCCTCAGGTAGAACAAGAAGTAACTTCAAAAAACTGTATGCTCGCACGTCTAAGTATAAAAATTCTATGATATCATACTTGGCAGGCACGTATTTTATGTTATGAAAATATTGTCAGGCAAGAATTAACTAACCTTTTTTCATCTAGTAAATAAACAATTTCCTCCATCCATCCTTATATACCTTCAAGTTCTACTTTTATTATTTCTATTATATTTATGGTCCTGTTGCTTCTTTGATTTACTTTCATAATTGCAAACACCAACTTATTTCTATGACTTCTGTAATCTTTCTTTGTCCCCTCACCATATCATGTAAAGAGAACATTATATTCAACATTTTTAACCATGTTAGGATTTCTATACCACATTGACAATACTGTGTGAAACAAGCTCACGGCAATTTTCACTTGTGTCATTATTACTACCTTAACTTTTATCATTATTATTATTATTTCCATTTTATATGCTGCATGCTTTTGACATTACCCTTATTGTAAATGTGGAAAAATTTTCTGTGTGATTAATTAGATGCAATATTGTGAATAATGCTGAAAATTCCATTCTGTATCACAAGTACTGTTTTTGGAATAAAGTATATTATTATTATTATTATTAGAACATCGACGCCAGCTTACTTTAGGATTCTATATATTCAAAAATATTTATCAGACACACCTAATTATCGTCTTCATATTTTCACTACAAAACTTTGTTGTTTGTTTGTTTTTTCACAGGTAAATGTAAAACTGGGAAAGAATGAAGTGAACATTTTATTAGATTTCGATAAAAATGATAATGAATTACAAAATTTTAAAATAACAACCTCATATCATTCAAACAAACTATTCAATGATCAATCTATGCTAAAACGTAAATGTTCTATACCAATAATTCATTGGAATTGTTGTACATTGAACGATTTGCTACCATCATCATCGTCATCATCATTCCGTGATACATTAAAACAATCAACCCGCCAAAAATTAGTTCAATGTTTAAAGCATTTTGAAGAGATGATACAAAATCAAATGAATTTAAGTCATTACTATTCATGTATAAATATTTTAGCTAATGAAATGATGGAGATGTTACCAAATAATAGTGTGGATGAATTAAATCTAAAAGTATTATCATTATTTGATAAAGAAGATGTATTGCAATTTTTCAATGTTCAATGTGACAATGAAAGACGAAATATCATACATCAAAATGATGAATTAATCAATTCAACAATATTAGCCTGTTTCCATTCATTAAATCTAGCACAAATTCAAATACAACTAGAAGGTAATTATGATTTAATAAAATTAATTTTAGAATTTATAAGATTTGTCTTTATGCCACCAGACAGGTCTGGGTTGGTTGGATTCCAGGCTGGCGTAATCTCGCCTAGCATGTAGTCAGCTCAAAAGAGAGTGGAGGTGATGTTAGATGGTTGGAGGCACTCATCAGTTAGCCAGGCGGCATATCTACAACCTTGAAGGAACTGTTGTCCCTTCCGAGGAGATTCGAACCCGCATCACCCAATGAGTACTGCAGTCAGAGATGTTACCACTGAGCTATTCGAAGCCGCGATTGACCTCGTGTAGGACTGTATTGGATATTGTTTCGATTGGATACTAGTCAGTGACTAATGTAGTATGTCTAGCTAGTCTTCTGTTTGGTACAGACTGTATTCTATCAGTCAGTCAGGTTTGCAGTGTGGCCACCATGCTACTCTAGGTGGCTCGCCATCACAGTGTGTATTGCACTGTGAATTGTTAGCATTAGATGGTTAGAAGCAATCGCCAGGGAAGGTTCAGAGCTTATAGCTCTACGTTCCATCTGTAGCGCAATAATTGAGAAGAAAACTGAATAAGCTGTCGGCATACATTATTCTAGCTGATAACTGAAACGTTCACATTTTGCATTATCTTGGGTATGTGGATACCTTGGGACTTCTTAGCTCAAATGACTAAGTATAAATACTAAGAATGAATATCTCCAATACATTTTATTGAATTTATTTTCAATAAAATGAATTTCATTATCCCATGTAGACTTTTTCGTTGTTTTCTAAATGAATTTTACAGTGGGAGTGTTTGTAAGGATTGCTTCTTGTCATCTGTGTGTACCTGCTGTCATGTCTGACAGAACACTGATCATTGGTTACACAATATTATCCCATAGGATAATTAATAGAGACATCCATAACAGTTCTATAATAATAATAATTATTATTCCCCTGGGTTCCGAGTGGAACATACGACTTCAACAAAACATCTCCACGATTGCCCATAAGCTCTCATCTCCTCCTCGCCACACGATCTCCTCGATGTCACCCGCACACCGATAACCTATTCGTCGCTTCCCACTTGTATTCCATTCGACGAATTGCCTGGCACTCAATATCGTTCGACGGCCTCCCCAACGTATGCCCAATCCATCTCCATTTTCTTCTGCGTATATATGCTGGACGGTGGGTACTTGGTTGCTCTGTTGCCAGGGTTTCTTGTTGCTAATTCTTTCTGGCCAGCCGGCTATTTCATCTCTAGTATGAAGGCAGCGTAGGTAGCTGGTGATAAAAGTATGCAGTAGCCTGTTGGAAATCCTTTTCATGAGACGTTAGCCAAGTTTGTAACCAGTATACAAGCCCTGACTGACGTCACATTTGTGCTGAAAACCCGAATCTTGTTCTTTGTGCCGCTTAGTGAAGAAGATTTACAAATTGGTTACAGATTGATGAAGGTATGCTGCCTTGCCTTTCCTTCTCTGGCTGGCTGGTTTTGACATATTCATCCGTTCCGACTGTCTGTAGTTGAAACGATGCTTCCTTGATTAGTGAAGGAAGTAACCTCTGTCAAATCTCTCCTGTTGATGGTGTTTGGTGTTGATTGTCTTTGCTATCGGTTGGTTATCTTCATCACCTGTGTCTTCTCTATGTTCACCTGGAGTCATGTCTTCGCTGTCCGCCTCTTCTGCAAGTCTGTTGGTTTTCGCCTGCAAGTTCTCGAGTTTGTGTGACATTAAGCATAAATTATCTACACACCGAATCCAGATCTACCAGAGTTTCCTTATCGTTCAATGCAGCGTATTCCTGTCTTCTCGCTCCAGATGCACAGTCTGACGCATAATGCAGTCCACCGAAATTAAGAATATCATCGGTGATAATAGGCAAGTAACCTTGTCTTACTCCTGTATTCGCTTCGAAAGCAGGCTTTGCTGACTTTTCCGTTGTGGATCACCTGACACGTGGCATTGTCATATATACAGCTGTTGAATGAGGTCTATAAAGACTTAGGCACTGCACGCGTAGTGCCTTTGAAGCAATTCCCAAATTACTTCTTGATCAATGCTGTCAAAGGCCTTTTCGAAGTCGATTAGCATGTCAGAAGTTTCATTAATTCCTTCCTGCCAAGTGTTGGTTTGCAGGAATTTGATTGATTGTAAGTTTGACCACAAAGTGAATATAGTTAGAAAACCATTGAAAACCATTATGGAGTACTGGACAGCTGTTTCTTTCTTATTTGGAACTGTTCAGCAGTATGCATCTACAACCTATCCCCATAAGGAAATGAACACATAACCTTCAGGGTAAAAGGCAAGCTCGTATAGTGCGTAGCCACTCGTATGGAATCCACTAGCCTTTCAATTCTAACAAAATCCCATTTTTGGATGTCTTAGTCAAGCGAACAACCACAGGAGAATTAGAAACTCAAGTCTATAGATAATCAACTCACACAGATCAAATACGGGATTACAACAGCAACAACCCAATAAGACACAAAAGGAATTGCATACAAACACTATTCAAGAGGGCCAGGACTCATTGCAGCACTCCCACCTTAAGGAAAATTGAAGAGAGATATGTTATGGACGTCTTCCAAAAAACGGATATCCACGAAATTTCATCAAAAGACATATACCCCCAAGCCAACCTATCAAACCAAAAGCCCCCAAGGAAAGCACAAAGAAAGTCGCCCTGCCATATATAAAGGATGTATCGGAAATCACTGCAAGACTCGTCAAAACTGTAGGAATTGACGTCGCGCACAAACCAACAAAATCAATTCACTCAGTGCTATGTCAACCAAAAGACTCAACAGCGAAAGAAGATAAAACCAACATCATCTACAAAATAAATTGTAACAACTGCGAAAAACACTACACTGGCCAAAGTGGACGTCCCCTTCGTCTTCGTATCCACGAACATAAGCTAGCCGTCAAAAGACATGACATCCACTCCCTCGCTCATATCACCTCACTACATACAGACAACCACGGGCATCAATTCGATTGGGACAATGTTCAAATATTAGACAGAGGAAACAACAAAAATACTAGAGAATTTTTAGAAGCTTGGCATTTCAGTGAATCATCAATCAATAGACACATCGAGATTGACAAAATTTATCAACCGATCAGAAAGAAACCTAACACACAAAGGGTCAAAGTTCAAGTCAAAGAAACAATCAGTTCTAATACAGGTGGCCTAGAAGGTGTGAAAACGCACAAAAACAACTAATCACGTTCAAGTTCACCAGGAGAGATGATTAATAAACTGGTGGAGAAATCTAAAAGCTCACTTCAATTGAAATTGAAGTATGCGCTGAAGATGTCACCTAGTAGGGTGATGAAAGCTTCACAAATTAACTATTCAGCTCAGAGAACACAACCACATCAAAATCATCAACCTGAGCTACAAATCTTCTCCATCGTATCTAAATTCTAATTTCCGCCAGTCTCCTATTTTTAGCGCTACCGCTAAGTAATATCATTGGTGAATATTTGTCCTCACGTCCAACTTTGTGGACTACGTTGGTCTAGATTTCCCACTGGGACTTCAAGCAACTTCGTACTGTAGTCAGTTGCTAGAGCACTACCGAGCACTAAACGGCTCGGTAGTAAATATGCTTATTTAGTTGTACATACATTTCAACAGTATCTTCCAAGATCTACAGTAGAAGATTTGTTCAAAGAATGTCAAGTGGTGATGGTGTCAGTGGATGTCAAGTGATGATATCATGGTTAAACTTGTATTTCTGATTCTTAATTTGTTGCTTCAATAGCTTATCAAGAGATACACTCACTGTTATGACAGTAGTCGTCAAGGATAAACACCGAATGTCCAGCCCTAGTGTATTACAATCGCTAGTTCGTCTCCATCGACTCTAGCTGGCTAAGTAATGTAGAACAAATTCTGAAATATTCAAGCATTGGTTTTTGTAAAGATTTTTTTCGATTAGTTAGATGACTTCATCAGATTTTCCAGTGGTTCACAGGTTTTCGAAGGGTTCTCTAACTGATATCAGCTCATGGTGAAATCCTAAAACCAATCAAACAAACAAAATCCATACAAAACCAATACTTCAAAACTGATCTGATGCTCACTACCAACTAGCCACATTCACCCAGTTAACATGGGATTCTAGTGGGAAGCCCTGACCAGTAGGATACAGCAGGTTGAAGGTGAGGCAGTAACTCATCCATGAAGACATTATGAAGTGGTCTTGCTATGTGATGAATTGGCAGAAGTTAGAATTCATTAGCTGGCCATTGGATTGGGTCCGAATGGCTGAATAATGGTCAACGATCTAGCTCGCCTTGTAACCAGAAGGTTTTGGATTCCAACCCCATGGTGTGGGTGCGCAGTGATGAAGTAGAGTAGCAAACTAATCTGACGAAACAGATAGCTGTTCAGTACTCCAGTGGTGGTTTTCCAATCGTTCTCTAACTGATGTCAGCTGATGATGAAATCCTCCAACGAAATTCTGAAATAACTGCAAAAGTAAATTTACACATACACATGAACCTGGGTATATTTTTACCAAAAGATAATACTTTCCGAGGATAGTAGGCAGTTTTAAAAGAAAAAGAATAAAATCGATTGTTTTTTTCAGTCAGTCTGATTTAATGTTAGTGAAGAGTAAATTTTTACTGGTCCTTTTTTTTCTAATTGGATGTTCAATCCTCACTTGTCAATTATCAACATATTTAACCATCCCGAAAAACCGTAACCTCTTCTCTCACAGTTTGAGTATAGTCTTGAGTGCGTTTATTTAAGCGCTTCGAAGTACGAATAACACAAGTTGTTCTTTTTTTCATAGTGATGCATTTGGAACTATTAGAAAAGCATAGATTTTTTCATCTTTGAATGAGAATACATCCCCAGGGAAAGTCTAATTACAGTAATTGGAATATATTTATCTAAGTATTAATAATTGTAGGGATTTAACTTGTCTCAAGTTTGATGATGGATTGATGCCAGTAAAATGAACATTGGAAACCTCGGTGTACTGGACTATGGTTTCACTCTTGTTCGGGATTCTTCAGAAGTGCTCACCCATCACCCCACCGGAGCTTTAAGAGTTGAAGCGAGCCAGTTGACCATTTAACCTCTAGGACTTGTCTGACCGTTCATGGTCCCGGGTTTGAACCCCATTGGGTGAGTTGTTGGGTGTGTACTACCGAAGAGCCGCAAACTAGGATCAGACAACTGCCTAGTACTCCCTGGTCTTTAGTGGTTCTATCTCATATATATATATATATATATATATACATGGTGAGAGCTGTCTGTAAGACAAAATTGCTAAACAGCAATTTACGCCAATATATACTTCCTGAATTGGGGTCATGAGAAAAATAATAACAAAGCTTAACATTGAGGAACTCAACAACCAATCACAGAAGACAACGTGTGTGCAAATACGATTCGCAGATAGATGGCTTAACTTTCTAAGAAACAGCCACAAAGAGATGGTAGAATAACCTTCGGCAAGAAAACAACCAATCAGAAAACGTTGCTTCTTCGTCGAAAAGAAAATTCTCTTCGCTGCAACTGTCTTTTTATTCCCTATGATCAAATGTGTATATTCCGTGATTTGAAAACGAGCAAGGACCGTTCGACGGTAAAGGAACTGAACAAGTTTCTACATTTGTCCGTCAAGCTTGCTGAAGCGAATGCGAAGATTTCCTTCTGGAAAAGCTGTCTGGATAAGCATGAATACCCGAAAGCATTCTGGAAAAATCTGAGACGAAACCACATATCTCCCAATTCACGCACGCTCAGAAGACACACCCAGAACCAGATTGATGCCGTTCGATCGAGATTAGCTGAACTGGAACAAAACGTCTCAATGAGCTCCCACGTTCTTTACGATTTAACTGTTGATGAACGGGCGTCATTCGAACACTACGCCAATACAGTCTCAGAGAAGAGAAAGGAAAATATCATCATGAAACTTAAACATAGCCTAAAATCAGTCACCAAAGAAACAGCTTTCCCATCTTGTCCCGAGAAATATGTATTCAATTTTTCTGATGTCTCACTTTCACCGATTCAAATGCAACTGTTGTCGCTCGGACCAAAATTTTGTGATGCATCATCAAAAGTAAACGAATTGAACACCAAATTACAATTCGAGAATCTGATTAGTCAGACTAATGATCTGGTCCCAATTTCATATGACAGTGCATAACACTTCAAATCAACTATTTTGAATTGCTGCCTCGATTACATCAACAAAAACCTAGACTTCGTAATATGCTTTCAAAAGAACATCGAAAGCAACTCAAAGGATTGAAATCAAATTAAAACCTGATAATAACTAGACCAGACAAAGGTTCTGGAATTGTTCTGCTTAACAAGTCAGACTATGTGAATAAACTGTCGTCAATTCTATCTGATGACAGCAAATTTCAAAAACAGACGATCCAGAAAGATCCAACTGAACAGACGGAGCTCTAGCTAACCAACTTATTGAAAAAAAATGAAAGATGAATCGATTATCAATACAGAACTATATGGAAAACTTCGCCCATCTGGTTCTACATCGCCACGAATGTATGGACTACCCAAAGTGCACAAAAAGGACGTCCCACTCCGCCCAATATTAGATATGATCAATTTGCCATATCACCTAATCGCGAAGTGGCTGGTAGAAATTCTTGGCCAGTGAAAGAAAAGTTGTCGAGATACAACCTTCGCGACACATTTGATTTCGTGGAATCAGTTAAAAATGTCAACCTCGCAAATAAAAAGAAATGATCTTCCTAGACGTCGTCTCCCTGTTCACCAATGTTCCACTGACAGAAACTATATGCTTTCTGTGTGACTTCATCCAATGCAACAGCATAGATGTCGGCATACCGATGCATTATCTAAAGGAGCTGTTACTACGTTGCACCTTCAACGTCTACTTCAGATTCAACAATGAAATCCCTGCTAACAATAACGCTAATAATAATGTACATAAAAATTTATAAATATGTGTTGGTTTTCTCAATGAACGATATGTTGCCTGGCCCTTGTCTTCTGTCGTTATATATATATATATATATATATATATATATATATATATAAACTCATTATCTAACTTCAGATATTCTTTTCTAGCAAATTCAGCACCATATGTGGATCAAGTGAATATCAGTAGTCTGTAAACGTTTCTTTTTAAACATTTTTTAATTGTTTCAATTTAGAAAAAGAACAAGACGACAGTTTATTGAATGAAAAAAAGATTTTCAAATTATTCACCAAAAACTTAATGAATAAATTTGTACAAGGTTTACGCATAACACGTTTACTGAATAGGATCAAATGTCGTCTTCTTATGGGTCATGGTCATTTATTACGTAATCTAATCCAAATGATAACAAAGTAAGTTAAGAAATTACTGTTCCTGTGTCTTGAATGTGTTTTGTTTATTCTTATTGTTTCAAAACTGATATCTTGACCAATTTTGGAACAGAAAAATGACCAAATAAATGATGGTTATTTAATGTGTTGATTTTTTTTATCTTGTCCTTAGTAGTACTGTCTAATGGTATTATTATTGTTCCCTTAGGTTCTAAAACTTTCAGCTCTTCGCTTTTGTGGGGAATACCCTTAACTGAACTGATTATTATTCACGACAGCATATCACTTGACACGATAGTAAGAACGCAGGCACCTATCTATTGCCATAGACCGTTAGCCTCTTCATCAAGTCTTCCACATTCCACATGACTATGGTCTCACAACCGTGAAGGAACACAGAGATAACTGATGAGTAGTGTATACATCTCCTTAGTTAGATAAGAGGATATCACGTCCACGTCAAAGCTAGTGTAAGTTGAGCAATGCTACACGAGCCGTTTTTATCCCTACTTACTGAGATTTCGTCATCAGTTAATCCATTAAGACTTAGTTAGTGCAACTTCCCAAAGCAAAGAAATGATCAAAACTCTAAACCACTTCACCACTGCCTTCTTATCTTTCAACTAGGAGTTGGTGCAGTCCAGTACTGCAGGACTAACTTACATTTAACAGAGGAGATGAATGGTGTGTCAAACAGTAATAAGATTTTGTGTGTTTAATCTCTTGGTGTCCACGACATTGGCAAGTTTATGTGCAGAAACTATTCAGTCGCTAATGTTTTGAAGCTTCCTAGCCATTACTTTCCTTGTTGAGCAATGTTAATTGATATCCGTTTACTTTAGACAACAATCTGGTATTTTCAGATGACATACTGGCATCAACGCTCAAAGTCTTTCACTGTTTGTTTGGACCAGTGAATGCAAGTATAGACTGGCAGACTAAAGTCCTAGGGATCTTACGCATCAATGATCAGAGAATTCTGGTGACTTTCGGATCAAACCGTGAATTTCCCTACCTTCGTGTGGGGAAACTTGAATTGCTTCTTCACGGGATGTTTCAATTCGGTTCAGTTTACCGTGTAACTAGCTAACTAACTAACTAACCAAGTGTGACGATAATTCATGGATATCTCCTGTATTTTCTGTTGTTTGTTTTGAACTGTCGTGCTGTAACGACAGAAGACAAGGTCCAGGCAACAGATCGTTTATTGAGAGAAACAACAGATATCTATTCTATCCAGTATAAACGTTCCCTAGTGAAATGTTTGTTCTCAAGGGCCCGAAAAATATGCACTAGTGACACAGTGATGGATGAGTTTCGACATATACATTCAGTTTTATTATCTAATGGTTATACGGAAAACTTTATCACTTGTCACAGTAAAGAAAGACCACATCTCGAAAAGACAGCTTCGGTACCAAAGAAAGCTATCTTTATTAACCTACCATTCAAGGGTGATCAGATTGTGCAGTTGACAGCTCAAAGACTTCGGTCGGCCATCAAACGCATATTCTACGCCGCATCTCTTTCCCTCACATGCCGAACATTTTCGATCCCTGTACCTACGATTAAAGGACAAAATTCTGTGGACTCTACTTCAAACTGTATCTACAAGTTCACCTGCAGCTGCGGTGACACCTATATAGGTAGAACCAACAGAATGTTCCAATGTTGTAGGAAAGAACATGTTCCAAAATGGCTACTAAATCATATAGAAAATCCCAATGCCAGTAATCTGAATAGAAATCCAGCATCATCCATTGCAAAACACTTATTAATGTCAGGTCACAAAATCAATATTAATTAATGACTGTTTCACAATTATTTCACATAACTCTAATTCAAGGTCATTGAAGGTGATGGAAGCACTTTGGGGGATTGATCACATACAGCCTAAACTGTGTGTACAAAAAACAATAGACTTCAATCTTCGCCTACCCTGGACTACTTGACCTATCTAAATATGATTAGTCGTTAGTATGTACTTTTGTTTTTATTTAACTGAGTAATTGTGATGATCTTTATTTTATCATTGTTAACCATGTTAGTTGTAAAGCGGTTGTAAAGAAACTACGAAATGATGCTATCATCTCGCGAAATTTGTCATCTTAATGCCTTATCCAAAGATATCTATAGATTTTTATGTACATTATTATTATATTTATTAGCAGAGAAGCAACGTTTTCTGATTGGTTGTTTTCTTGCAGAAGGTTATTCTGTCATCTCTTTGTGGCCGTTTCTTAGAAAGTTAAGCCATCTATCTGAGAATCGTATTTGCGCACGTTGTCTTCTGTGAATGGTTGTTGAGTTCCTCAATGTTAAGCGTTGTTGTATTTTTTTCTCATGGTCCAGATTTGGGACGTAAACATTGACGTATATTGGTGTCTACGATTTTAGCTTGCAGATAGCTCTCACCACGGTACTACCATCAGCATCATACTTCATACAGATTACTTCCCTTGACAAATTCGAATAATGAGATAAGGACATCTTTTACAGGATAATATGAATTCATTTTATTTCATCGGACTTTTCATCAGCTGCATGCAGCCTGAATAATAAACTGTATAAGCATTCAATGTGAAATAATTTAAACATACTTTAACTGTGAACAGCCAGCTCATTATATAAGAGTAAACTAACATGCTGACAATGAAGACGGGGTGCAAAGTATACGAGGAGTTAGAATAGCTAATTATAACCAAAATAAGGACATTATATTCAAGTATTAGTTTGTGGGGATTTGATTGATTAGTTACAGAATTTCATCATGAGCTTACATCGGTTAGGCGACCATTGGAAAAGCATCACTGGAGTACTAGACAGTTGTTTCATCTTAGTTTGGGACTCTTCAACAGTATGCACCCACACCATGGGGTTCGAACCCAAGACCTTCTGGTTACAAGGCGACCTAGATCGTAGACCATTATTCAGCCATTCGGACCCAATCCAATGAATTCTAACTTCTGTCAATTCATGACATAGCAAGACCGCTTCACAATGTCTTCATCGATGAGTTACTGCCTCACCTTCAACCTGCTGTATCCTATTGGTCAGGGCTTTCCACTAGAATCCTATGTCAACTGGGTGGATGTGGGCAGTCGCTTGTGAGCATAAGATCAGTTTTGAAGTATTGGTTTTGTAGGGATTTCTTTGTTTGATTGGTTAAGGGATCTCATCATGAACTGGTATCATTTAACTTTGGTATCTATTATTTGCTCTCCCTCTGGCAGCGATGTTGTTCTTTTGTTGGATGTTGTAACAAGTCACACGTTCGACCTTCCCTCTATACCAGTTTTACTACTACCGGTTAGGTGAAGTTTTATGCGGGAATCAAACCCTGGACAGTATTCATGGTTGATGAGTGTTTTACCACTGAATTACCAACGCCATTGATAGCCTACAGTTTATCCACGTCTCTGGCTCAATGTGTTTAACAGATAACCATTAAATATTTTAATTGTTTAAATTTACACTTTTTTCTTTTGTATTCATCTATTTCTTTTTCTAGTTTACCTACAATAAATGAAACAATAATGGAGGTGCCTATTGAACAATTCATCGTTGAACCACTTCTAAACGTTGAAGAATTATGCTGTAGACATTTTTTGAGACTTTCTATAGAATCTTTCATTTTACATTATTTTAAGCATTTGGAAAGTATTATGCCATTTGATGATAACAGTGATGATGTTATACAGGTGAAGTAGATGTAATAAAGAGAAAACACGGCTTGAATTCTTCAAATGTGTTTCTTTATTTCTTTGAATTAAAGTGTTTTTACTATGTGAAAACATAAATGAGTTGCGACTGTCCAAGCTTATTATTATTGTTCCCTTGGGTTCCTAGTGGAACATGGGGCTTCAAATGCACGCCTCCACTTGCTTCTGTCTTGTGCTGTACTTTTCACTTGCATCCATGTTAATTCATACTGTTTCAGTTCTTCTTCACACGATCTCCTCCATGTCACTCTTGGACGTCCCACTCACCGCTTCCCTTTTGGGTTCCACTCGAGCAAGGGCCTGACGCGCGATGTCACTTAGTGGCCTCCTCAGCGATTATCCAATCCATCTCCACTTTCTCCTGCATATTTGTTGAGCGATTGGTTCTTATTTTGTTTGTTCCCATAGCTTCTTGTTTGTAGTTCTTTCCAGCCATCTAATCTTCATTATAGAACAAAGACAGTTGTTGATAGAGGTCTGCAACCTGTTGGAAATATTCTTTGTGACCCGCCTAGTTTCTGATCGGTATAGAAGAATTGAATTGACGTTTGTATTGAAAATCCGAATTTTGTTGTTGATGCTGAGTGACGAAGATTTCCAGATTGGTTTCAGGTTGATGAATGTGTTTCTCGCTTTCCCGATTCTCGATTTGACATCCTCGTCCGTTCCTCCTGTAGTTGAGACAACGCTCCCTAGATGGGTGAAAGAAGTAACCTCTTTCAAATCCCTACCGTTGATGGTGATTGGCGCTGGATGTTGCTGCTGTTGTTGTTGCTTGTTTATTTTCATAACCTCGACTGTCCAAGCTTGGTATACTATTATTATTATTCCCTTGGGTTCCAGAGGGAACATAGGGCATCAGCAACAAATCTTCACTTTGTTCTACTTTCTGCCGTCCTATTCAGCTGGCCAGCTACACGACTACCCATGATCTCTCATCTCCTCCTTCATGTCACCTTCGCACCGACGAACCACTCATCGTTTCCCTTTGGGATTCCACTCGAGTGATGGCCTGTAATGAGCGTGATGTCATTCGACGGTCGCCTCAGTGTATACCCGATCCATCACCATTTTCTCCTACCTACTTATTGAGCTATGGGCTCTCGCCTGTTGGTTTGTTTCCAGCCAGAGTTTGTTCTTGTTACTAATTCTTTCTGGCCGGCCAGCCACTTGATCTTCAGTACGGAGGCAGCTGTTGATGAATGTCTGCAATCGCCTGTTGGAAATCCTTTCCGGTGCTTCTACGCTGGTCAGAAACTTGGCGGATCACGTAAACGAAAAGCTTGGTATATGGTGGTATATTATCCTAAAAGGGCAGTGGATGATTTTTTAAGTTGGGACACAGGGATTGAAACTTTGAAGTTTCGGTAGAAGTGGTGTTGCTAGTCCAACCTTCCTTCTTTCCCGGGCCTACTACCATCGAATATACTAGGTGAGGTTTAAAAGTGGGTTGAACTCATCCACACCTTGAGCATGGCTGATAAGTATTCTACCGGTGAATCACTAGTGGACGAGTAAATGCGTAAAAAGTTAACGTACATCAACTACAATTTACATGTTTTTAGTGTCACTTGACTAGATTCAGACAGGAAACTTTGACAAATTGGAAATTACCGACTATTAAGTGACTGTAAGACAGGTTAGTTTACTACACAGAGGTGTTCGTATGCAAGATGATTTCAGAATACACTTGGCTGATGATAGCGTTTGAAGGTGACTTTTTGATCGTAGTAAAAAGCTTAGACATAGCATACGTCCTAAATTCTATCTCTGCTTAGATTTCACCGGAGTAATTTGTTTGATTTCAGAAAATTTTCATAACAAGTCCCAGTTGGTTACCTAAAACAGAAACAGCTGCTTGCCTTAAATGACTTGATCATTGAAGCATGACGCTTGCAATAAGGTAATGGACATTGATTTTAATCGAGGAAACTCTGAGTTACTATACCACCACTTGATTAACAAAGCTTAGATACACTATTACTGACTGAAGGGAAAATGAAAACTTTCTTTAGTGAACTCGAACGGCTATCACAAGGCCTGAAATCGAAGTATGCAACCAATTTCTTCAGTTAACCTGCAGTGACGACGCCAAAGTATCAAATAGACATTGTACTTACTCCTCCAATTAGGTGTAAATAATGATAGTAGATAAATTTTCATAAGAGAAACAGGGAGACAGTAACACATAACCTATCTAATTCTACCACAGTGTCTAATTTCTACATTTTATTGATGAGTTAATTATGAATACCAGTCGTCACGCATATGTATGCATCAAGTGTCAAACACACAGAACAAGAAGTCCTCAACTGGATGGATTACGCAGCAATCATTGACACTTACAAACTAGACAGATGTAGATATTTATTCAACCAACTGACTTCAAACTTCTCGGCTATAAAGTACTGATGCTATGCAACAAGGATAGGACTAAACGACTATCACATATCAAGTGTAATGAAGTCGAATAACAGCTCGCTTTTACTCTCAGACTAAGAAGTACAAGTGAATAGGTATAGCTGAAGGGCTCAATAATAAGTTGAAAACATATCAGGGGTCTTTTCATAGATGACTTGCATGCCGAGGAACGTACTTCCAACCTGTCCGACACCAAAGTAATTATGTATTACGTATATTTTCGCTACAGGTGACGATTAATACCATATAGGGTTATTGTGCAGTACCCGGTTGACAGAACTCTTTTGTAGTGTCTACCCATCAGAAATGCACTCCATCACTCCATTCACCGGATGTCATGTAGGACACAAGCAGCTGGAGAAAGGTTATTCCCCTCAACAGACAGGTTCAGCTTCATGTTGTGCCTAATGGCACAGCCTGAGTAAATTCGTAGGTCTCTTTGTCTGCTAAAGTCTTCAGTATTCGCTTGCTTTAGTTCAGTTTTAATAAATTACTATTCGATCCATTTTTGGCATGATGGGACTTAACGCACTCAATCAATTTTCGCTACCCTCGCTGTTATTGCACCGTAGTACTGGATTTCAATTCCATTTTCGACTGACGTTTAGTATGGTGAACTAAAGTTAAATCCAATAAACATGTTTAATACCCTAATTATAGAAAGTATGCATTTGAGCTGTCACATTGCATAATAAGATGCAAGATAATCATCATCGTGGAAGAGTCTGTTTAAAGTCTTAGTGTTTGGTATAATCAGATCATTTTCAAAAGACTTATATCCCTATGATTGGATCTTTCAGCTCCTTAATAAAATTGGATGAAAAGTAACACACTGACAGTTGTTAATGACGTCCTGCAGATGATTAGTGACAAACTTCCCTCTGACATTCAAAGAAAATATCAATCATTAGCCGACATCACACTCCCTGGAAGACACAATTGAGAATATAGGGTAATTTCGCTATATCCGACTTTCGTTGCAAGAACCTATGAGATAGAATGTGGTCATGTTTCAGCATGCCTCTAAAACTTTCTCGTCTTCTTCTTTATTTGACTCAATTGTTATCACAGTTTTCAATCAGTAAGGTGATTTTTACGAACTGTGTGCATTCGTATGAACTGTGGTCAAGATTTCACTGAAGGGTTCCAAAATAATCAGACACAGAGTGAGAATTAGACATACATGAAAATTATTTTTGTAAAATCTCAGCGAAATTGAAATGATGAGTGTAGGAAAAACCGGTTCAAACTTCTTCAGGGAAATTAATCGAAATTAAAATAACAGAAGTGTATTTATGAAAAGGACATCTCTTGTTTTTAAAAACGAAAACTTTGTCTAAGCATGTGAGTCATGAAACAGTCATCAAAATATAATTTAAAAAAATTGCATAAACTGTGATCAAAATTGCACCACAGACTTACAAATATTAGTTAGAGAGCCATTGAAAATCAGGGAGTACTGGACAGCTGTTTCATCAGCCTACTGTGTGATTCTGCTTCAGCAGTACACACCCACATAACGGGGTTCGAACCCAGGACCTTCTGGTTACAAGGCAAGCTCGTATACCATTCAGCCACTAGGATCCAATTCAATGACCAGCCGATGAATTCTAACTTCTACCAATTCGTGATTTAACGCGACAGGCGCTAACCAATGTCATCGGTGGGACATCCATCCTCACACTTGACTGGATAGACCTCACTGTGGTCACGACTTCTCACTAGAACTCCAAGAAACTCTGTCCTGTAACAAGTCACTGGAGAGCATCAGATTAATGGTATACGAGCTTGCCTTGTAACCGGAAGGTCCTGGGTTCGAACTCCCTGTGGTGGGTGCGTACTGCCAATGATGGTCAAACTGGGATGAAACGGCTGTCCAGTACTCCCTGTGGCTGGTTTTCAATGGTTCTCTCTATCTGATATCAATCTGTGGTAGAACTCGTATAAACAAATCTAATTCTTACAAACCAGCCTCTTGAAAATAGTCTACTTTTGTTGAACACTCTAAACAGAGTGTACTTTTCATCAGAATAATTTTAGTGATTACGTTCGTATAAAGTTCATAGTCGTAGATAACTAACTGAATATGTAAAAATATGTATTGTCGTGGTATACAATGATGTGTGTGCGGCAACAATTCTAAATCATTTGTTATCACCTCCATAAGAAGATATAGGCAATCGCGAATTTAAATCAAATATGATTGATTAGTGATACATATTCATTTTTATTTACTAATCGGGACTTGTCATAAACCAGGTAATACGATACTTTCACGTCTCTTCAAACTTTTGGGGTTCCACAATAGATGTAGGGCTTCTGCATTCAGTATTTCTTTATACTCACGTAGGCGTGTAAGGGCTTATGGGGAATTGTCATCTGAATTGATAACAACCAGTGGTGTCCGCCAAGGATGTCCACTTTCCCCTTTTCTGTTTAACTTCATCATAGATATGCTAATGGAAGTATCCTTAACTGAACTTAACGACTTAGGAATCGACTTGTTACCAGGGAATAGTCTAATAGACTTAGAATACGCAGACGACATAGTCCTGTTAGGGGAGGATGCTGACAAAGTGCAGAGTCT